TTACATCTTATTAATTACAAGTAAGACAACAAAATACCTATTCATGCCTGAATCTTGTTACAATTTTATTTGTATTCACTTGCTTTACAGATTAGAGAAGTTCAGAATTTGCCCAAGAAGAGCAGACCAGGGCGTGAGACATCATACGAGTGTAGCCTTTGCAATGTGGGGTTGTGTGTTGACCTCTGTTTTATGCTGTACCACAGTTATGAACATTATGTCCTGGCTTATAAGAGGAATGTTAATCATGTTAATCATGCCAATGAAAATTAGGTCTTGAACATTCAGGCATATGAAATATCAAATGATTATAAATGAATTGAATTGAATGACTTTGCAGTGAATTAAATGCATTGAACTGTTGAATTGAATGACTTCTGCAATGAATTGAATTGAATGACATCTGCAAAAATTGAAATAATCTATTGCCATCAATGAAATTGTTTTGTTTTTTTTAAAAATTGTTTTCATTTATTGATCTCTTTGAATTTATTTATCTCTTTGAATCACAAGGTGTTCATTTACATTTTGTATTTTATTCGAAGAATGCAATGCTCAATCATGTCAATTAATTTTACAATTGTATTTATTACACTTATATACTCTGTATGTCTAGTCTGTTTATTCTACTAAATTGTGATAATTTATTGTAATGAGTGCCACCATGAATTGTATTTTATTCTAGTCATTTAGTATTTTGCATTTCAACATGAAATATTGGCATTGCTGTGTTATAATTTATTGTAATGAGTGCCATCATGAATTGTATTTTATTCTAGTCATTTATTTAGTATTTTGCATTTCAACATGAAATATTGGCATATTGCTGTGTTATAATTTATTGTGATGAGTGCCATAATGAATTGTATTTTATTCTAGTCATTTAGTATTTGCATTTCAACATGAAATATTGGTAAATTACTGTGTTATAATTTATTGTAATGAGTGCAATCATGAATTGTATTTTATTCTAGTCATTTATTTAGTATTTTGCATTTCAACATGAACTATTGGCATATTGCTGTGTTATAATTTATTGTAATGAGTGCCATAACGAATTGTATTTTATTCTAGTCATTCAGTATTTTGCATTTCAACATGAAATATTGGCATATTGCTGTGTTATAATTTATTGTAATGAGTGCCATCATGAATTGTATATTATTCTAGTCATTTAGTGTTTTGCATTTCAACATGAAATATTGGTATATTGCTGTGTTATAAAGCAGAGTGAATGTAGGCCAACTAGGTTTTTTCAAGAAAGAATTAGTTATGAACTTTTACAAAAAAGTTAATCACCTGAGAGAATTGCCTGATCTAACATATTTTTATGTACTGTACTATATATATGTTTAAACTCAGCAAATTTGAAATCATAAATGTAGGAGTCTGGCAGCAACCTGTTTAACAAGATTACTTAGTCCAATGATGTTATTCACTACCAACAATACTTTGAAAAGACATTCATGTCAAACAGGAAAACTATCAAGATTCAGTAACAATATCTTCATTTGCAACACTGAATGTTTGAACAGCCCCTACATGTTACTTATGGCAAAATGAATGTTAATATAATGTTATAAATATAGAGTACAAAAAGAGCTTTAATTTGGTGTATCATATTATGTATATAACCCCTTGGTTAGCTTTTTATCCAAGATTTAGTGAAACGCGTTCCGAAAATAGGAATTTTCGTAAAACAATTCAGTTCGAGAAGGGTTAATATTCTCTTCAACTGTGTTAGCCAATATCTGCACAGTGTTAGCCACATCTTCTACACGAGTGCTTAGCGTTTTGGCAACATTTTCCACCTGAGCACTAATCATTTTTGCCATATTTTCAACTCGATTGTTCATCTGTAAATTATCTCTCTGATTTTGCTGACAAAGATTGTCTATTTTCCCCTCTATATGTATGACTGAAGAAGTTGCAACTGCTGTTGGGAGAGCCAAGCTAAGAAAAGCTGCTGGAGTGGACAATATACCTGCCGAGGTGTTAAAGAACCCAACCTGTATCGCTATGTTACACAATATTATTTCTGAGTGTTTTAACACAGGAATTGTGCCTAAACAGTGGATGCAATGTGTTATAAGTCCAATATACAAAGATGGGATCAAAACTAACCCTCTAAATTATCGAGCTATTTCCTTGATATCTGTCCCCTGTAAAATTTATTGTGATATACTGAACATGAGGTTGACAACTTTTCTTGAGGAAAATAAGTTGTTATCTGATGAACAAAATGGTTTCAGGAAAAAACGTAGTTGTTTGGATCAGGTGCATAGTTTGTATTCCATTATAAACAATAGAAAACTGTCTAAACTAGACACATTTGTGTGCTATATTGATTATATTAAAGCCTTCGGAAGTCTTAACAGGGACTGCCTATGGTTTAAAATGAACAAAATTGTCATTAAAGGTAAAATGTTTAAGGCTGTGAAGTCGCTATATCAGGATGTTACATGTAGTGTGAGGATAAATGGAATTTTAACCCCTTGGTTCAGTGCTAAGTCTGGTACGAAGGAAGGATGTCTATTATCGCCCACGATTTTTTCCATCTATGTAGACTCCATAGCTGAAGAAATAAAAAGTTTAAATTGTGGGGTCACAATTAACAACGAAAAAGTGTGTATACTCATGTATGCCGACGACATTGCTTTGATAGCGGAGACCCCTCAAGATCTTCAGCGCATGCTTAATGTTGTAAACCAGTGGTGTAGGAAATGGAGACTCAGCATAGGTCAGAAAAAAACTAAAATCGTTCACTACAGGCCAACCTCTAAACCAAGATCTACATATCAATTTAAATGTGGAATAAAATCAATAGAATATACTGAAAAATATAAATACTTGGGAGTATGGCTTGAAGAGCATGTCAACCCTCAAATAACAGCAAAGGAAATTGCTAAGTCTGCATGTCGTGCTTTATGTGTAATAATGTCAAAATTCCAACAAACTGGAGGCATGGATATAACTGTTTACAGCAAATTATATGACACTTTAGTGCAACCTGTGATCAACTATGGCTGTTCATTGATAGGTAATAATGAGCACAAGTGTATAAATGCAGTCCAAAATAAGGCATCAAAATTCTTTCTTGGTGTCGGTGTCAAAACAAACAACGAAGCAGCTCGAGCTGACCTTGGATGGGACTTACCACTTCACAAACAACAGATAGAGAGTGCACGTCTTTTTATACGCCTGCAAAATTTGGACAAAGATAGGTTAAACTCAAAAATACATCATTGGTCCTTAAGACGTAAAAATAGTTGGGACTACAGAGTCTACAAGTTCTTAGAGGCATCAGGCCAAGGGAATATAACTCAAATGGAAAACTTAAATGCTAAAGCTATTTTAGAAGAGGTCAAGCTTTATCAACAATCTCAAGATCCCTTTCTAAAAAACATTTGGAATGACAAAAACAATGAAGTGAATGGTAATAAATTAAGAACTTTCAGGCAATTTAAGTATGGAGTAGTAGCAGAAAGTTATGTAACTTGTTTCATCCCAAGACACCATCGAAGTGCATTGGCTAAACTAAGAACTGGGACGCTACAACTCCGTATAGAAACTGGTAGATATGATGGTACTCCTCTGGACCAGAGAACTTGCAAACTCTGTGATTTGGATGAAGTTGAAAATGAAATTCATTTTCTGATAAAATGTCCACACTATAAGCTCCTAAGGGATACCTTCTATAGAGAGATTGTGCAAGAGCAATTGCCATATATAGACTTGAATAATGCAAATTCACTTTTGACATTTATTAGCCTAATGCTTGCCAAGAAGATTCAAAAACCTCTAGCAGCTCTTATTCATAATATGTATTCAAAAAGGCAATTTGACTATGGCAGATTATAGGAGTTACATTTGTGAAGTCCAGACTTGGTTAAAACTGATACTTTTTTAGAATTAAAGATATAAATGAAATCTCTCGAAAAATGAAGAAAACAACAGCGAAAATATTGCATCTTATAACATTAACAATCCCATTTACAGCGATAGCTCTTGCTTTTGGCCATCATGTCTTGGGTTGTAATTGAAAGGCCCTATTTAACTATACTTTCAGGTATACAAGATGACGAGGAAGCAACAAGCCAGCAACTTAGAAGGCTGAAAAACTATAATAGACAATCTCACTAGATATTTTGTTTTTCAAAAAGAATAGAAAATATAGACATCTTGTTTTTTAAGTAGATACAGTTAAACCTGTGTATATTGAACATTTTTGATAAACGTTCAGTATTGGTATCACTGGGCGAAGTGACTAAATATAAACAATTTTATTCACAAATAATCAGTGAATAAATTATTATTATCTGGTTAAAACCTATTATCGAGACTATTATTGCTGGTTATCACTGATTATCGAGACTTATTAATCAACAATAACCAGTGTTTTAACTGGTTATTACGATAATCAATTCTTATTAATGTGTAGCCAATGACAAAAAATCGAACTGATTATCAAGTCAAGTGATTATTATTTGTTTTCATTAGGAATTAAGAACTGTCTGCCACTTATCCATCCAATCCTTCCAATTATTAGCCGTTGAATAAACAAAGTACAGGGTGACTCAAAAAATGCAACCCTCCATTTCTTCAATATTTTTCTTAAATGGAGGTTAATTGCTCTGAAATTTATACTATTAAATTTTGAAAATATATTTTAAATGTAAATTATGACCATGATTCATTTGTTTGTTTTCAAAACTTATAATCTTTAACAATTATTCAATATTATTACCAGCCAAAATCCATTTTGAATAAAAAAAAAAGTTTATATCAACAGATCAAATAAAATTGATTATTTCAAAAGATAAGTTGATTAGGGGATTAAGATTACTTCACTGTTGGATGTCCCCCATGGGAGATTATTCCTGGCATACATTGGTAATCTCCTGGGGGTGACATCCTTTGATTCGTTAAGGTGTGAAAACATACCTGCCACAATTTAGTATATAAGAGGGTGATTTTTGGAATAAAAATCATATCCAACTGATCAACACATCATGGCACAGAATCAACTCAAGGCTCAACTAAAGGCATGGTTAGGACGTCACCTTACAGACCAAGATGGAGACACTCCAACAAGAGTATACAGCAGCGATGTCTACAATGATATGTTAAGCAAGACAAAGGTCAAGATATCAAAAACAATGCTTGGAAGATGCCTGAAAGAACTCTACCCAGGAACCAATCTAGTCAATGGCGGGAAATCGACAAAGAACATACCGAGAAAGTATTACTACTCCGGGGTTTACTACAGGAGCGTTTCTTCCGAAATCCCACAGTCAGCACCTATAGCCTTCAACGAAGACACTGATGACTTGGATATACAACCGTCATGCAGTATGACAAAACAAGCTATCATTGAAAGAATCGAATCACCACCCAGAAGACAAGGCCCTGCTACATTGGAAATTGCTACCCAGACAGAAATAGAATTCACCAGCACAGGATCCCAGACAGATTTTAAGTCTCCATCAACACAGCAAGTCAACGACCTACAAAAGCAAATCAAGCACCTCTCTGATCTTCTTCACACCACACAGCTAGAAATGGACCGATTATACACTACGTTAGGCTACCTTCCAAATCCCCACAGTACTGAAGCAGGTGAACGGTATCACGTGGAAGCAGACTTTGAGCAACTTTCCTCCCTTGAACGTATTTTGGGAAAAGGCTCATTTGTCGTGGTTACCCAAAGACGTCTCCAGAATGGCACAAGTATTGCAGTGAAGCAGCTTACAAGTCGAGAATCTTCAATCCGAGAATATCAACACCTGGCAGCTGCTCAGCTGAACAAACCGGATTTTATACAAACCCTCCTGGCAGTAGACCTCAATGGACCACCCTATTCAAAAGTAAGTGAGTGTGTACACCTTGGAGCTTCAGCAACATCAATGGAGGCTGTTGTGTGAGACCCAACATCCTATCAACAGATAGACCCTCCAGCCCAGCTGAAATGTTTGGTAGCAGGACTCAAATTTCTTCACAGTCAGGGAATCCTTCACAATAATATCAAATTGAATAACTACCTTCTATCATCTTCTACATCAAGCGTCATCATCGACTTTGGGATTGCCTGTCCACTAGCAGAGCCAAGGAAGTACTCTAAACCAGCCAATCACCTGTGCTACTGGATAGCCCCGGAGGTGCAGAATGCTACAAAGGCATTCTCTGTACATAGTGACATTTTTTCAGTAGGGACATTTGTGCGTGGGATTCACGAGATTGCCCCATTTCCTATGTTCATTTCTGTTGCAACTAAGTTTTGTAGTTTGTACCCACCTAGTAGATCTATTTTCTCCATCTTCAACATTGTATGATGCATGGTAGTTCAACAAGTTAAACCCAATACTACGGCTTTCATTTATTAATCTGAATTTATGGTGACTTCTTTCTTAAGATCCTCCTTATCCAAATATTGAGGCAGACAATGTCGACAATGTACAGGCTTTGTTCGACTACTATTTTGAACATCTTCCGTCTGCCTTTGACGATCTTATTGTAGAATTCCACGCTGCACCTCTGAGGTAATAACCGGAATGTTATCTCAAGCATAAGTTAATTGTTTCTTTAATGAATGCAAGTTGTAATTTTAAATGATTTTGTTTTCAGAAAGTTGGCCACTTCCATCCTGAAGCCAGTAGTAGTATTCTTGGAGAATTCCCTTGATTTTGGTATTGACTCGGTGAAGGACGCAATTCTAACATTGGCACTTGAAGCGTACATCCGTAACTTTTTCGATGGTACACCTATACGCATTCTATACCAAGCCTGGCAGTAACAACCGTCTACTAAGAGCAGCTAACTACAGTTTCCGTGAACCCTAGGACGCTTCCACCATACCAGTTCGAGATGATGAAGACACACTGAAGGAGTTACTAACAGCCTTGTCCAGCCTTGGTGGGGAGAGATACTACATCCACTCTTTCCTTGGTATAAGTTATTGCACCTGGACGGGGCTTCTACAGAGAGACAACAGGAATTAGCTCGACTCATTATGCTTGGGGCTATCAGTGCAGAGTGTGACACGACCATCCACAGTTTCATGTTAGTACATACCATTTGCTAAGCCATTATTTCTCGCTGAAGATAATCTCGGATAAAAAAATTATATATCAATGATTATTTCTTATAGCTACAACCAGTACAGAGAGAGGTACGGGGAGTTGAGCCGCAGAGAGGTGTACGACCTACTAGTGACCAAGCCAAAACCACTCTGTCAGGCTAAGCGGCACACTCTACATGCTTTTGTTAAGAAGTTGGACCCAATTAACATCGAGGTAGAGGAGGGCAGAGATGTTACCCTATTAGACGATTTTCTCGGATCAGTGGAGTGAGTACAACCCTTCTCCTTCATTGTGATTCATCATTATAGAGTCAAACATAAGATTTCCCATTAAATGTATGGGTGTAATGTACAATGATATAATGTTTATGTGTTGCCCTATAATGTTGATGAGTCAACATTATAGGGCAACAACAAGTTTTTCGTCATGTGTTACCCATAATGTTGATGAGTCATACTTTAAAGTGCCACTTAACTTTCCTTTCCATATAAGGGAGATAGCTCCTCCTACTCTTAGCTCATTGGCTATCTTATTTTAATTGCCTTGGTATTTAAGTGGGAGCAGCCTGGGTTAAGGCAGAATCAAGTTGAGTTTTTAAGTGAAGAGATTGATTGTAACATATAAGATGTAAATAAAGAGAATTATATGAGTATACTTGAACAAGTTTGTCTTTTATTTTACTGGGAGTCATTTAAAACACATTAACCTTTAAAAGTTAAGTGAAAGAACCACAAAAAGGCTTCATTGGTGGCAACGGTGGCACTTATACTTTAAGGTTGATTGTTTTTTGACTGTTGAGTTCTCATCTACATCATCTACAAGTTCTGAGAAGTCAGATTTGAGACATGATCATTTCTCAACATGCTTCAAAGTGACCAATTTTATCATCTATACTCAAGTACTCAAAAGTTAAAATCTGACTATAAATTTGAGAGATGACCTTCTCAAGGTCAAAAAAATATTATGAGCAACTAGATGGTGACATTTTGTCACGTTTATGCCCTTTGGGTATTTTAATTCCAGATGTTATATTTTTTATTTTAGTGTGCATATAAATCTGAATGGTCTGATGAATGGGGTTGCATTAGAAGGGGTAATAGTAAATATAGCGCATTTTGTACCATATGCAATAGGAACCTTGATATCAGCCACATGGGTAAATATAATAGTTATCATTTTATTCATTTACTGAATAGTATATCTTGTTACTGATTTGATGTACACTTAAGAATAATGATAAGTGTAAATAAATTAATACATAAATGCTATGTACATTAATGATAATATAATTAAAGTATAATTGAATTAAATGGAGAACTGAGGAAAAACTGTATTGTAGGACATGCAGATGTTAAACGACACATACAGGCAGTTTCTCATGTGACAAAATCTGCTGAAGATCGAAGTCAGATCGACAAAATGCCAATTTTTAAATCTTTAGATAAAGCTACAGGAATGCCTAATTTGGAAGTAAAAGTACCCATTATAATAGAGTTCAGTATGTAAAGAAGTCAAATCGTATGGTTCTAGAAATTGTTTTAGCTTCTTAATGATCGTTGGGAAATTGTGTACTATAAATGCATATTTGAAAATACCATTTTTCTGAGTCAATGGCGACAATGAAAATACTTTAGATGAGGGAAATGAAAATTAGCACATTCCTTGTATATAGGCAAATGCCATAAATCAGCTCAAAATACTTTTCAGGCCAGGACTGCTGAAATTAAAATGACTGCACTGATGATTTCACATAATATCCCATTGAGTTTCGCAGATCATTTGAGAGATTCAATAAAGGAATGTTTTCCCGATTCGAAAATTGCCCAGAAATACAGATGTGGGAAGACCAAAACTGCATCGATGATAAATGGAGCAATTGCACCGTGGCTTAAGAATGACCTTGCCAAGGATATGAAGGCACGACCATTCACACTGTCAACTGATGGATCGAATGATTCAGGTAGGACAATAAACTTGATAACAGAAGTGTCAAATGCTATATGAGATGACTCTTTAAGCCCTCTTCAAGAGTCTTAGCAAATCTCTTTTGGGTCTATGTTAATAAATTAAATTATGACTTTATGTTTTGGGTTTGCATGTGAATAGTGCTCCTGATATGAAAACAACCACAGTGGTGATTCTATGAAAACTTGCATCCAACTAATTAACAAACTATTAAAGATTGACCAAAAATGACAAGTGAAGTCAAAATTTTGAAGATCAAACTCAAAGGTCAAGGTGGAGACCCAACAATGTTAGAAAAGGGGGACTCAGTCATGGCGGACAGAGGAATAATAGTTCAAGACTTGTTTGCAGCAAAAGGGGTTCAGATCAACACACCCACCATGCTGAAAGGTAAAAGCCAGCTTTAGCCAAGTGAAGTTATTCATGACAGACGAGTCGCTTCCAAGAGGATCCGCATTGAACGTGTCATAGGGCTTGGTAAACAAATGAAAATCTTGAAGCAGGATCTACATCAAGGAAAGAGAGACATCATGTCAAGAATAATCAAAGTATGTTACCTTCTTAGAAATTTTACCTTCTTTTGGGGACAGTTATCAATGTCAGGGAAATGTTCCATACATTCCAAGTCACCAAGGTCAGGAAGATGTTCCATATATTCCAAGTCCAAAACCAGGTCCAATTATAGATGAGGGATTAGTAACACCTAAACATATTGACAATACACCTCTAAATCCAGTACCAGACTTGTCCTGGTCAGAGGTGACATTGCTGTCAAAAAACTAAGCCAAGTTGAAGTAACTTTGACTTGAACCTCGTAACCTGTGGAATCCAAAAGTTTTGTTTTTCATTGCCATGGCAGAACGTTAGACATTCCTTACAGCGAGCAGCAGGATTATTCAATGCCAGCACCATCATTGATGTTGCTGACAGGTATGATGTAGAACATTCTGCCAAGTCAATGGAGCGATTTATAAGAAGTGGACAGTGGGCAATAAAACCTATAAAATTGCGGATAACCTACAGGTACCACCTTTGAAAAAGTTCATAAGCTCTGACAAGAACAAAGGGGAATTGATCCGATGCCTCCATAAACACACTGAAGCAGATATACGATTGAACAAGGACCAAGACTTAATACTTTTTGGTGGACAAGTAGAACCTAACAAATCAGTTTTGGTAACAAGTAACAGGGCAGTGATCATGACTGACTGCAACCACCAAGAAGCTGATACATGTAAAGTGAAGCTTTTGAATTAAATCGTAGGCCATGGTTAAAATATGCTTAATTTAACTTAATGCCAGCCATGAATACTGTTAATGGTACTCTCTGAAAATCCATGTTGAACAGTAAACACCCAAGCCTTAGTGGTTCTTCACTCACACTGCAAGGATATAGTTTAATAACTGTTTGTTCATTTGTTGTCTGTTTGGGCAATAACCTAAATACTGGTAATTTGATTCTGTTCAAATTTGATAGGCAAAGATATATTTTCAAAATGGCTACTTGGTTTAAACCCATATTTTTGCCATAAATCAGACAGTTTTACTTTTCAGTATTACTTGCCCAGTTTGGCTAATAAGGCCTGGGTGTAGTTTGTTGTCAATAAGAGACACTTATACTACCTGCTGATATCCATCTTGTAGTGAGATACTGCTTAGAGCTGCTGATTTTCAAGTACCTAATGTTTTGTATTTTCTTGTAAAACCCATGGGAATCAGAATCAGATGATATTTCTGGTAAGTAATTTATTTATTGTTTAAAATAAGGCCTGGTCTGCCAAGTGAAATTGTTGAATCCCAATTACAACCTACTGATATCATCATTTTAACCACATCGTTGGAAACCTAAGATGTGACATGCATTGATGAGTGAAACGTAAAAGTAAAAGAATAAAATATTCTTAACTTGAATAAATCATATCTTGGGCTCATGTATGGCCGTAGACTCACTCTGCATAAAGAGATAGAAGAGCAATCTTAAAATGTGATATAGGACATTATCATGTAAAATTTCAATCATTTTTGATATCAAGTTGAAATAAATCAACACAAAACTCAGCCATATCTTCAGACAATCAGTGCCATAATACATGTAATAAGCAAATATTTAATTCTATGGAGGGCAATACATGTTCATCTTTCAATGATTTTTGCAGTATGTATTGCCTACAGCCAGTAGGGCAAAGGAAATATAGGCTACAAAAGTCATTGAAAGTGCAACAGGTACTGCCCAAAAGAAGAGACTATCAGAATTAACAGATATAATTTTGTACACATTTTAATATTTCCAGTTTGTCATTTTCTTAAGAAACGAAAGAAAACAGTAAAGAAGTAACTTGAAGCAATTGATCAGTTTTAGGAACTATTCAAATCACAAAGGGAAAGAAACTATTATGAAAAAGGGAAATAAACTATTTATGGTAGGCCTCTTCCCTTGTTTGTTTGTGAACTTGTCTTTTGTAGCTTATGGAGGAAGAGCTTCTCAAATTTCGCGTATTCTTAAATGGAGTCATGTTATTTTACCAGTTAGTATTCACCAGTTAGTACTGCACAGAAGGAGACCATTTACAGGGACAGAAGAATTCAAGACTTTGTCACTCTCGCGAAAACCTATGGATACAGCCTACTAAAAAATGTCCCACATGATGGGAATTGCTTTTTCCATAGTGTAAATGCCCAGCCACCCTATAAAGATTGAGGAAAGCCACCACAGATTTCTGTAGATGTGGAGTAAGTCTTAATTTTTGGTTTTAATTTTGTGAATTTGCAGATATGCAAAAATGTTGATTCATGCCTTCCCCTATTTTTCAGAAACTGTTTTGCATCTTAGGAAATTATCACTAGCCAGGAATAAAATAATTCAATATCACTTCAATGAAATTAGCAAGTTAAACAAAACAGATTGCAAATACTGCTGCAAAAGTGACAATATGATAAAGAGATAAGTATGAGATACTGAAAAATTAATGAGTGCACTGGTGGAAATGTCAAAATATGATTCTTCACAGATCTTTGTATACAGCTTACTCTGTAAAATAAATTTTTAAATGCATTAATGTTTTAGTATGTACTACCTTCTGATGGTTTTATCAGCTGCAGTTTGATAATAAATAAAAAATATAGCATGAAATTAGTCATTTTTAATCATTAAAAAAATGTTTTTGTTTGCAGGAACGCTAATCTCAGCTGAAAAGTACACTGACGCCAGACCTCATTGCCAGTTAAGGGCACATGGATTTTCCAGAGACATTGAAGATTCCAGAGTATTTCATGTCATTGCAGAATTTAATAAATACAACAGTAAC